TGAACAGGTCAACAGTCCATCGCAGGGCATTCTCAAAAATTTCAAAGATATTTGAAAATTGTGGCATTTAACCTCTTAACATCCAACTCATTTTGGGAAATTCTCACCTATTTTGCAAATAACTTAGGAGCTGTAAGCCCAATGTACACCCTTTATCTTCATTACCTAAGTTAATACCTTATAGAAACACCCCTGAGATTATGTCTGATAGTCTTTTACTGAGTAGTGAAGTACAGTAATGCTTTCACCAAATACTTTTTTACTAGAGTTGGATGGCTACCAGTCAATTTTACTGGAGTACACATATGATGGAGTAGTAGTCCTCTAACCTAGTAACATTTTTAGGGGGAACTTTATCTCTAACTATAATTTTCTGTATGAACTTAATCTGTAAATGCCCCATTGTAAAAGAACCATCCATCCATCCATCCATCCATCCATCCATCCATCCATCCATCCATCCATCCATCCATCCATCCATCCATCCATCCGTTAATCCGTGGCCGGGTCGCGGAGGCAGCAGTCTAAGCCAAGATGCACAGACTTCCCGATCCACACACACGTCCTCCAGCTGCTCTCAGGGAATCCAAAAGCGACACCAGGCCAGCACAGAGACATAATCCCTCCAGTGTCCTTGGCCTTCCACCAGGCCTCCTCCCAATGGGACATGGCTGGAACACCTCCTGAGGGAGGGGACCAGGAAGCATCCGGAACAAATGCCCGAGCCACCTCATCTGGCTCCTTTCGACATAGAGGAACAACAACTCTACTCTGAGCTCCTCACCCGATCTCAAAGGGTGCGTCCAGCTACCCTGTGAAGGAAACTTATTTTGGCCGCTTGTATTCTGGATCTCGTCCTTTCAATCATTACCCAGACCTCATGACCATAGGTGAGGGTGTAAAATAACCCTCAAACAAATAACTTATTTTATACTACAAAATTTAGTAGATTAACAAATAAAAAAAAACATATTTAGATAGGCACCATATACTCACACCTTATAATGAACTATTTACTTAAGCATCTCTTATAATTTAGGGAAAACTGAAGATAAGTTTTTTTTTTTTTTTAAGGGGTGGGGGGTTTCTTTTGGTAAGCCTTTACAAAAAATGTAATATGCATCCATCAAATGTAATTCAGTGTTAGATACTCTGAAATTGTAAAATCATGACTGGGTGTATGAGTGAATACACATCCATTCCTAAGTAACTAGGCCAAAAATAGAGACAGAGACTTTGAATGAGTGACACCCATGAACTTTCCTCTCCTCTGCCTCTGCCTGGTGCTGCCCACGCCTGATTGGACCTCCATTCAAAGCCAAGCCATTTAAATACAGGCGAGACAATCCTTTTCCTGTGCGACAATCCTTCTGTGCATGAATGCCGTTTCTCTCTCCTGGTTCCTTTTTTCCAGCCTTTTCTCTCCAATTTCCATTGTGTTTTGGGGCTTTGAGCTTTTGTAGTTATATGGGAGATTTCACTTCTATCAAGAGCTATGGACCTGAGGGATTTATCAAGTTTGGTTTCTTTTGTGCCTCTTTTTCATAATTTCAATGTTTTTTAAGAGTTCAAATATTAGTTGATTCCTTTAGGTCTGGTTTAGTGCATATTCACTGCATTCTGTTTTCCGGGAATTCTAGTTCATTTACCTTACAGCACAATATATCTGTTGTTGTCTCCCCTTAGTTTATAGTTTGTTCCTTTTTGTGGTAGATGATCCATATTACACCAGCGTCTAGATTTATTCTCTTAATTTCGGTCAGTGCTTAAGTTCACAGTTTGCCATAATTTCCCGCTGGATCTTTAGGTTGGTCTCCTCATTTTTCCATCCTTTTTCCATGGCCTGGTCTCCCCGTTTCTTTATGTTGATATGGACTTTAAATCAAAACCTTACATGTTTAAGAAATTCATCATGGCCAGCAGTCCATGACTATTAAAAGAGGAAACAGTTGTATTCATAAAAGAATTTGTTCATTCATATTTGATTAAGGTTTCCAAAATTGTATTTCAGGTACCACGTATATCAATAATCATGGACTTTAACATTAAGTGTGTATTAAAATAATTCATGCTTGTCTATTATAATTTAATGATTGGGTAATGGTGGTTAAAGTTAATACTAACTTCAGCAGCAGATTTAAATAATTGTTCTAATATAGTTATTTCATCTTTCAAACCAAAAAAAAAAAAAGACACATTTGACCAGGTATTGAAGTTTGCTGTGCAGTTATTGGTTTGAATTTAAATTTTTATGTATTATTCACAGAGATTTTACTTTATTTATTTGCTTGGTTAAATACCTGAGATAAATTAGATGTGTTTTTATAATTCCTACAATATAATTTATGAGAGCTACTGTAGCATTTCAGCATCAATAACAGTCTAGAGTATGAAAGTAAGTTGCAGATGACTTCAACGAAGACTGCAAAAGAAAACAGATTTCACCAGAATAAAGCAATTTAGTAAATGATTCTAAAAGGCAATTTGGGGATTTGAAGCTAAGTTTTATCAAATGGAAAACAAATAATTTATCTTAAAAGGAAACAAAAATTTGTAACACTGTTGGCTCACAGCATGAAATTCCTGGTTCTAACTCTATTTTTTTTCTGCTAACATTTTGCTTTTTTTCTCTGTGCATACCTAGGTTCTCTAGGGGTACACTGGTTTCCTCTGACAGTCCAAAGATTACAGTACTCCTAGGTTATCATAAGTCCCTAAATTGACCTTAGGGGTTTGTGTGGATGGTTTTGAACTCAGCCTTTCACCCGCCTATTGCTGGTGGTAGGCAACCGCTATTTATGGGTTAATGTCAAATGGATAAGTGGCCACATCTTCTACCCCTTGTCCGTCAGGGTCATGGAAAAGCGTTAGAAGACTGATGTAAAAAGCAAACACCATGTGAATTCTCACCTTTACGGTCATCTCTGCCACAAATATCGCTGTAAAGATGTAGTCAGACCACATCAGGAAGATCCGCTCCTGCAGAACAACAAGGTGACACAAATTGTTTAGAATTCAAGTGCTCTCTCAGATTTATTTTTCCATTAAGCCTAAAGTTTTCCCACTAAACTAGTTGAGTCCTGCACAATAATTTATCTGTTTTCCTCATTTGTTATCTGAACTCTAAACCTTTCTCGATCGCCTGCTGTAGTCTTTTGACAGCTAGAAGACCCTTGTGAGTGTTGGTGTTTAATTCATACTCCTGGAAATATTCCAGCAAAAAAAATTATAAAAGGTTTTTTTTCTAACAAATAGAAAATAATGTCTTTAAGGTTATGTAAAATTAACATTTTCTTTTAAATTAATTCCTAAGTCCTGGTAAAACTGTTAATTGTCTTGTTTTATAGCTTGCTGAATAAAGGTTTGAACTGCAGCATTGTCCTTTCTGTTTCTAAAATGTGTTTGTAGTTAATACATTAATCCATTGGTTTTCTTCTGTTAATTTAAGATAGAACTACTGAGTTGTGGTTTTTGACGTTCGTTCTGAGGATTCCCAATATTTAAACCTAAGCTGAATTTCAATCTTGCTTTTTTAAACATTTCTTTAATGGTTATCTGTTACTTTAGGATTTATTTGAAAATACTCCAGCTGATAAAATATGTCTGAGCTGTTAAATCCTTGCACCTTAACTGGATCCTCTGTAATCCAACATGAGAACCTTTATTTAGCTCCTACTGCAAGATCTAGATTACAACCTCAGACTATCAGTCAAGATGCATAAATCTTTGGACATTGTTAAGCTGCTATACTCAGAGGAAAACTTTGATGCTTTTGACATAAACATTAGGTTCATTTTATATACTAAAGACTTTTTCAGGTCAACAAGGTGCACTTGTATAGTATAGATGCTCAATGCAGATTGCCCTTCCCAAAAACACTCCTATGTAACTTGAAAGAGACAGGTTCATTACAAAACAAGTCCTGAGACCGAAAGTAGGCCCTACTGCATTGCAGCTATCAGAGACTCCCTTCAAACGAGAGCAAACTAAACTAAAAGTTGTCATCAGGCAACAAAACAGATGAGAACCTTACCTGATCAGACATATTTTTCGTTCTCTGGTGTCTTTCTTTGTGCACTCCAGTTTGCAGCTAAACAGAAAGCATTCGACTATTCTAAGTCCTGAGCCATGGTTCTTAACTACAAATCAGTTAGACTTCTCCCTGCAGGTCAATTGTCAGTCTCTGCATCAAGTGAGAGTTCAGTTATCTTATAACCTTCAGTGATGTTCACAGATGAAAATAAGATAGAGCAAGAGATGAATAGATGCATTAGGTCTGCAGAACATAAGGCATCTATTCATGCTGTTGGCAATGCAGTAATGTTGCAGTATTGCTTTAGTTGGTTCTTAGTAAACAAAGACTTGAACTGAGTCAAATGTAAAGCTTTTGATTTTCATTCTATCTGGGCTACAACATATATAGATTAAAAATTAAACGATGAGAATTTGGATGCCAGCAGCTAAAATTAGCTTTCTTTATAGGATGGCTGGATTCACCCTTAGAGCTACTATGAAATGCTCTTTTATCCAAGAAGGTTTGAGGGGATGCAATGGTTCATTTACATTAAGGGTTTCAGTTAAGGTGATCCTACCATCTGATCAGAACAACCTGTAAAGCCATCTAATGGGTGGATTGATGGATAGATGGATGAACGGACAGATGGATGCACAGATGGATGGACTGAGGGACGGATCGACGGATGGAGGAATGGATCGATGGATGAATTTACCAATCAGGTTTTATTAATGCACCTGCAATGGTTTTTATTTCTATTACTTATTCATTATTGTTATTATTAGAAACTTCTTCTATCTGTGATGCCAGACATGGTGTTGTCCTTCAAGGGTTAATTAAAAAAAAAGGGATCAGAAGCTTCATTCAGACAGGTGAGCCTTAGCTGGGGAAATGCTGAGGAAGCAGATGCAGACCTGGCTGCTCACAGCAACAGGTGATAAACGTGGTTGATGGGCAGAATGGCAGGAGTTGAAAGATTCAGGGTATAGGTAACAGTCAGCTCCGAGTCAACAGACAGAGGTGTCTGACATACGCTTGGTAAGACAGAGAAATCCTTGGTAATATGGTTGTGGTCAAAGATTTGGAAATGAGCAGGGGAAAAAGCTGGACATCCACTAGCTCAAGACCTTTAAAAAATCTGGTGCCAACCATCTGCAGAGAACCAAAATAAAAAAGGGGATCTACAGGTGGAGGGAATGGACTGATTGTGCTCCCACTGTAGGTGGATGGCAGGTGTATTTGATGAGCTCGAAGACAGACGGGCAAAAATCATAAAAAAATCTCGTTTTAATCCAAACTGTAAAAGACATTTGAGTCTTTCCATCTGTAAAAATGTGTCAAATATATTTAAAAAACATATTAAAAATACTAGCTGTTGCCATGTTCCCATACCGAGTTAATTTTTTTTTTTTTTACAAAAACAACCTATAACCGTTCAAAAGTATCTACACCATAAAGTCAGTATATTATTACCTTTCAAATACAGTGCCACGTCTTTGCCCTGCAGCATGTCCTCTGCATGTTCACTAATATGACTGGAGTTTACTTAGTAAGCTTAACAAGGACAGAGGAGGAAAAACAAGAAGGCTACCACGAAAAAGAAGCACTCAGCAAGTGCTTATTCTCCCTTTTCTCCCTCTGCCTAAAGAGAGAAAACCCTGTCCTGCCTCTTAATGTCTATGCATGGTGGAGGGGGCTGTCTTTCCCACGACCTGCACTACCATCCTATATGCTCAGAAGAGCTCTAAATAACATATATTTAAAATGGAAAGAGACAACAAGCCTGTTCATTATGCAGTTTTTACTTTCAGGAATGGTATCACTAGAATTTCCTCTGAGACAGCTGTTATTGTCATTTTGTACACACAGAATGTATAAAAAAAATCATTTTGTGCAGCTTTCATGATATTTCTATTCCTTAAAGTGCAGCAGTAATCAAATGTAAACAGTGTGGGGGGAAAAATAACATGGTGAAAAAACGCATTAATATGGAAGTTCAGAGCATTAAATATATATGGTGCAAATATGCAGTGTTGTGGTTTGGCGTTGTCATTGTGCTGCAGAGTCTCTGATATGATTTAGAGTTTTTTTCTACAGTTCAGCTGTCATCTCTGTTGAGATGGTCCATAAAGGTCAGTTTTAGCAGCACCCAATGGTATTATATTTTATGCCTCTCTAGAATAAACAGCAAAGTTTGATTACTGTAACAGGGTTTCTATTTTTTAAGGGCTGAAAAATGTGATTTCTTGTTTACGAGAAAAAGAAAAGTTAATTTTTTTGCTTTTACCTTATTGTGCCACTTTTGGGCTGCTCTTTGGGACACTGGCTAGCTCTGCTGCTTTGCAGCAAGATTGGATCTCCCTGAATCCATGGTTAAAGCTTTGCATTGACCATTTATGGTTGAATGTGGGCAAAAAGTGGCAAACTTTAAGGCATAGCTGTGATCTACAAAGGATATTGTTAGATGTTGTACATGCACTTTTATTAAAATTCCGATTTTTTGTAGGACTTAATTTTCAGGATTTCAGGATTCATTTTAGTATGAATTCCACACAATGTTTTATAAATTAAACAAAAGGTCTCAATGCAACTACATGGTTTCACCCTATGCAGGAGATCAATCTGTGTTTGATTACTTTGGTCTTTCTTAAGTATCTGGATGTGTGGGAAGAAAAATTATGAATTTTAGAATTCAAAGTGAAAATAGTCAAACTCAACGGTTTTAAAGTTTTAATCATTTCCAAATGATTAAATATAGTTCACATTTTGTGACAGTTACTTTCAAGTCAAGACAATTTAAAATTTTGCATGGACAAACATAATTTAGTTTCTGAATTTCTCCCCATAAATAGGCAGAACATGAATAAGGAAAACAATTTCGCCTCTAGCTGAAGGCAAACAAATGATAAATTCAAGCAACTCCCCCATTACTGTCCTTAAATAATTGTCATTGTGTTGTTTTTTCCACTTTAACACAAACATGTCCTCTCACAGCGATTTAGGGAAGGGTTGAACTGTAAAGGAGATAAATCTATCATAAAGCCTTGGTTTTGACTTTAATTTACTGTACTGCATTCAATGCTGATATGATTCAATTCGTAATTTTGGACAGTAGTGTATTATCTCCTGCCTCTTTGAGAAATGATAAATAATTATAGATATTACTGTATAATCATTCACTTAGTTTATTTACCCTGAGCTGATGAAATGATGACAATATCCAGGCAACCCCAAGCAACAAATGAAAACAGAAACGGACAACAGGCCAAATGCAACAAAATGAAAACAGAAACGAACAACAGGCCAAATGCAAACTGTTTGATATAACTCCCAATGAAATATGATAATGAAATAATTATTCAGCCTGCATTCGACACCCAAAAGCACTTCATCTTTGTATTGATGAATAGATTTCATTTTGGAGAAAGTGCTATTGTTGTTTTGTTTTTTTTAAAGCTGGCAAAGAGGGTGATGTAAAGCAGCTCCTTATAAACAGATGCAACAAACTGATAAATTATACATGTTTGGGCTGTTGGAAGCAACTCAGAACAAAATCAGCGAGAGCAAATCGATTTACAATCGACTTCATTAATACAGAACAACGCAGACGGACAAATAAGCAGCCGCCGTGAACAGCCATTACAAATGGAATCTAGAGAACTGTAATGACTGTTCTTTCTCTTGTATCAGGATGCTTGCTAAGTTGTGTATTTCCACCTCATTTTAATGATGGCCACAGTGTGGCGGTGCTGAAAAAGTGATTTTCTAGAATACCACTCGCTGACCTGAGTGTTAGAAAGGCTGCTGGGATGGATGGTGGGTATTTGCTTAAAAGTTGAAGTTGTAAATGATAAAAATCTGTGTGTGCATGACCCTGCAATCCACAAGGACCAGTTAGCACAGGTGAGACCTTCCGATTCCTTTTAGACATTAATCAAGAGTGTATATATATATATAGACAAATATACATTTGTCTGTGTTAAAGCAGGGCAAAGGTGGCAGGATGCCCTGCCACTTTTACTCTGTTGGAAAGGCTGCCGCATCAGCTAAGGCATTGATGTTGTAGATGATGCAGTGCAGCAAATACAGAGGTAAAGCACATATCACCCTGAGCAACTGGCTCACAGTCAAACAAGAGTGGTTCCCTGCTTATACAATGTTCCGCTCTATTTCTCTTCAGAGTGTAAGCTACAGAACAAATTCTGTACGGTGGTGTCTGGATTTAGACTCACTGATGGCTACTTTTTTTTTCTTCCTCTTGGTAATCTTGTTAATGTTAAGGCTAACTGATTTTTTTTTTTTATTAACATTCAAGTGAAACAAAACAGCTAAACAAATCTTTGGTATTTTCAAAACTGTTTGTCTGACATCAAACTTCATCATGTAAATGAAGGGAAAATTAGAAAGGTTCTCTTTGATCTGAAACAATCTTGTCAGACCTCAAGCTCTGGTCCCATTTCCCCCCTTTTAACTTCAGACACTAGAAATTTAGGTGTGATTTTTATCAGCACCCTGAGGTTTTCTAAACTACTTAACTTAGTGGTCAGAGCAGGCTATACTTAAAGGTACAGTGGAAGATTTTAGAGAACTTTTGAAAAGACCTGCCCTCTCCATTTTTAAAAAAATGCACATGTACAACCCTGTACCAGCTAACAGGGAACACCTATTAAACACTTGAGCGTGTGCACAAGCCTGTTTCTCCTCTTGCATGCTCTGTTTAAAAGTAGCTGTATGCATCGCTCATACAAGCTTACTTTCCTAAAGAAGATTTGCAATTTTTTCACCATGTCAGATTCACCACCAGTAAATGAAGACGAACACGAGGATGGCCTGAAGTAAACATATACCCAGAATGATTGACAATTAGGAGGACCACTTATTTTGAAGATCCACTCGGAAAAATAACTTCCTCCACTATACCTTAAAGGTAGTACTATCAAAAGTGAAAATATTTCTATTTCTATTCAAGACTAAGCTGGAAAAAGCAATGCATGAATTCATTAGTTCAAGGCTGGACAACTGTAATGCTCTCTCTGCAGGAAGTACTGTAGCAATTCTATTCTTCATTAGCTCGGTCAATGCAAAAATGCAGCTGCCCAGTGTCTCTCAAAGGCGTCCATATTACACCCATTCTCTCCTCTCTCCACTTGCTTCCAGGTTGATTAAGGATAGATTTTAAAATCCTGCTTGTTCTTTTAAAGTCACTACTCAAATAGCTCAAGCGCCTTTGTCTGAACTTTAAAGTTTTTGCAACCAGAGCCCTGCACTCAGCAGATGTATAACCCTGCATGTCTCCAGTGCTAGGTTCAAAAGAGAGAATGATTGTTGAGGAATGCTAGACCACCAGAGCTAAAGTAGCGGCCATTCAAGATGGCCCTTCCAAGTCAAACACCAGCTAAATGGCAGCCTATTCCCCTGCAACTGCTAGCAAAATCCCCTCCAACTTCCAGCCACTGGCCTTCTCCTGGGCGTGGATTTTTTTTTTTTACTCTGACTTAACCGTTTCACTGAATTACAGGGTCTGACCAAGATATGATGCTTCTCTTTATATCTTAACGTCCCCAGATCATGATAGAAATAATATTTCATAATAAGGACTGATGTTTAAAAAGGAATTGTAGGGAACCAGGCAAGGGCCAGCAAAGGGCCAGCAAAGGGCAAATCAAGGAAAGTGGGGAAATTTTGAATGGCTACTACTGTACAATCCATTACTGACCTGGAGTCTTAAAAATCACAGCTAACAAAATCAACTATTCAGACAGGCCTTTCATTCCTAGCAGTTCAGCTGTAGAACAAATTTTCTATTAGTTTATATTCTGGTTTCACTACTTTTCCTTATAGCATCGAAAACAGTTTGAATTGTACTAATGTGTATTTTTTGTTTTTATCTCTTTTATCCTGTTATTTTCTTACCTTTACATTTTCATATTTTATCTATTTGACAACTTGTTTAAAATCAACTTGTGAAGCACTTTCTGCACCATATAGATTGTTGAGAATTGAACAAACTTGATTTGATGATCAATTGATGGCGGACATATCACTTTTGTAATGTTATGTTTTGAATTCTGCAAACCTATTTAAAAGAAAGTTCAAGGGCTCCTGCAAAAAAAATTAGTTTTTGTTTATTATCTTTCTGAATGCCAGAAGTAGTAATGCAGAAAGTTCCTTTTATTTCTATAAAACCAGAATGCAGCCCCCCCCAAAAAATGCCTTAATAAAGAGTGGAACTTAATATAGGATTATGTGATGCTCACCGCACTGTCAGGACTGATGCCAGGCCTCTCCATGGCGATGGTGATGCAGTTGAGAAAAATGATGACCAGCACAACATGGTCAAACATTTTATGGTTGATGATCTTTTCACATTGCCTGCGGCATCTGTGAAGAAAAACAGAAACAAGTTATATTTTTTATAGCTAATTAACTCAACTTTAGGAATATATATTAGCTGAGACACAAATGCAACAAGAGATCATAAATATTTTAGTCTTTCATTTAATTTTTTGTGTGCATTGATTTTACTGCAAAAAGTATTGCTGTTATCTTTAGATATTTCAAAGCTGTTGCGTTCAAGGAGAGAGTGAGATGGAAACATCGACGGTGTCCATTTTTTAAAAGAGCTTTAACCACAAAATTCTCAGGACATGGTTCACTTGCATTGCATTCATTAGAAAATTAACATCCCTATAAGGAAAATAATTAACTAATTTTATTTGAGGCATAAATGCATTTAAAGGCTAATAGTTTATGAAAATATATGTCCACTTTACACTGGATTGAGAAGAAACTCTAGACACTTTGACAAATATTCTAAATTCCCCTCAGTGGGAGGACACTGGTTGCACTGGTTGCTTACAGGGTTTTCCCTTTTTTTTTTCCTCCATTAACTAATATTCTGCTACTGTCAAGGTTAACTAAAATGTTTGCTTGATGTTGTTATAATCTGCATATTTACACCCGAAAAATTGGACGTTTCTATGCCTCTGTCATCAGTCTCTGTCATACCAAAGAGAAAATTTCACTATTAGCCATCATGAGAAGAAAAAGAAAAGGGGTGTTTTCTCCACTCAGGATTCCCACCTGTGCAAACTTCTTATCTAGTGTTGCGTTTTGCTTGGAAGGAGCAACCATGAGAAAGCGTCCATACATTTTTTTTTTTTTTTGTTTAAGGTTATTTATTTTTATTCTTTTATTCAATCTATGTCTATTGTTGAATTAAATTTAAAGCCCTGTTAGCTGCTGGTGTTTGCACTACATTCTTTCCTCCTCACTGTTTAACACAATCCCAGATTATAATCTTCAATAGGCAGTAACACAAAATGTATGTTTTAATCTCCGGTTTGAAAAAAGTCATGATTGCCACCCTAACAATCTGAATGAACCGACTCTCAGAGGGGAGACTGAGACACAGGTCCTTAAAAATTTTGTATATCTTCCAAAAGGTGCAAACATGTTTGTATGCACAGAGCAGATCTTCAAAGAAGGTACAAAGTTACTTGCACCTTCTTCAATTTAGCAGTCAGTATGTGCAAGAATGTCTTTTTTGACTTACACCCTTCATCAATATGCTGGTCATATTCTAATGACCACACACCGCAATTTATAGATTGGGAATATGCAAGTGCAATGCCGTTATGTGCAAAGTAATTTTTCATATCTTAAATTTAACTGCGCGTGACATATGCCTGTTTTAGCATTTCTGAAAATCCGGGAACAAATTTGAAAACCAAAATTTCTGCTTTCATTGCCAAAAAGAAGCCATCGGTAGAATGATGGACGATTGAGAGAGATTCTGTGAACATTTAAATATATTTGGGCGGTCGGGAATAACAATACTAGAATTAAATTATCAAAGAAAACCTATCTGCACAGGCTGGGACAACACAGCGGGATGGCAGGCAATTTTTATATGATTAAACCAAAACTAAACAAAAGATTTTTTGGAAGATATATGTTGAAAAGTCAGGAGTATTTTATGGTCTTTAACAGACTGCATGCAACGCATGGCTGTGTTTTCTTCAATAATTAAGGGCCTAATTGTATGGCAGTATATTAGGTCAAGCTGCTTTTGAGACGAGCTGGTGGAGAAAATTCCAGCTGTTTACAAAATAACCTTCGGCTACTTCTTTGTTGCATAGGGGCGGGATGCGGAGGTCAATCAGCGAACAAAGAAAACTTCCTCATATTTCAACTTCTTGTTAATGTTTTCTTTCTACAGTAGCAAAGTGAAGTGAGCTATAAATATAAAATAATATCATTAAGGTACCTGAGCTGACTATGATAGAATTTATTTTGAATTGCATTTATCAGTATAACTTTCCACTGATAATTTCAATTCAGTTCAATTCACATTATTTATATAGCAACAACACATCTCAAGGCACTTTACAGGGACAATTCAATCAGATCATACAATCAGATTTATATCTAAGGAAAACCATTTTTGGCATAGACTCATTTGAGTCGATGTAGCATAATTTTACTTAAACTACCTTGAAGCCTTGAAGTCTGGTTTACTTTCTTCATTTATATTGACAGTTCTTGCTGCTTGAATAAAAACATTAACTTAGTCTGAAAAAAAAAAACATAAAAGCAACATCACTGTTGCATCCGTGCCATCTACCTGTGTTATAATAAAACTGACTAACTTGCTAAATTGTGATTAATACCTTAAGTGATTATTGAGAAGGAAATTTGGATTGACTACATGAAAAAAGGACAGACAGAAATCTCTATTTATTTAAGATGAAAAGTTTTCCTGCCCTGTAGGAGATTTACTCTATTAAAACATACTTTAAAAACAATAATTTAGTTGATAGACATAAGCAAGGTAGTTCAGAATAAAGTCTGCAGTGCACAAGTGAAAATTTAGGCTTTATCTTGTGCTGAATTTCATTAAATGGTTGCCAAGCTTTAAGCTCATGAAAACACACTGAAAGATCCCAGCAGTGACTGTTCTATTTGGTGGTGTCAGGGTTTAAAATGGGAATCAAATGAGATTTAAAGGCTCATGTGGGTATAAATGTGCAGCAGGGGCATTATGTCGGGAGGCCTAGATCTAGATATCTGGCTTTATTTGGTAACATAGTCCTGACTGCTCGGAGTCAGAAGACATGTATGTTTTTCACCTCATTTTGCTTTCTCATGCATTAGTAATATCTGCATACCAGAAGCTTGATTATGTAGAATTTGTCTGTTTTTCTCAAGTGGCCGAGGAAGGGAGACACACGGCTCCATCTCTTCCTCTGAGGTTCAAAGGGCAAATATCTGGAAGTGAACTTTAACCGGAAATGGTTTGGAAAACCAGAAACACACACACACTAACAGTGAGAAAACGGAAGGATCTCTTCTACAGGCTAAAACTGTCAATGGATGCTCAGACAAAATAACACATTCTGCTCACTTTTTTGAAAGAAAAAAAAAAAACACCAAAAAACTTTACATCTTGACATCCTCATAAGAAAAACATTCTGACAACTGTCCGAAGTACGCCTCCCCAGTGGTATTTACTGACCTTTGGAGTTTTCACGCAGTAAAAAAAAAAAAAAAGGTCGTGACTGATGCCTGGCATACACGCATTTGATATCTACCACTGAAAGTTTCCTGCTTTTTAGACATCATGAAGTGTATCCTAAGTTATGAGTCAAAGCTGATAGAATTTATAACTTTTTAAAACTCAAGATCTTCAAATCCTATTTTAGGTGTTTGGTTGGGATCACAGTCATAAATATTGATCTTTTGAATTGACCAACAAAGGGGTTTTTGGTCACTTTCCAGTGATATTCTTATTGAAAGAGACCTTTTAAGACTACAGGGTTAATATATAACTCTTAGTAATGGAGACTGACCTTCACAAAAATCAGTTGAAATGCTTCTCTTTACAAGGTTCAAAGTATTACGTTTATAAGGTTTTTAGAATGACATGAAAAAAATTATCAATGGCTTTAGTTTTATTTTTTGTTAAAACAGAATACAAAACTTATATAGCCAAAGAACAGCATTAAAAGAAATGTACAATCACATTTAAATGGTTTGTAGAACGTGTTGAACCAAAAACTGAAATGATCATTTCAGAAAAGATAGGAAATAAACTAGCATTACCTCAGAGTTAAAGCAAAACACAAATTTTGTAAAAAAAAAAAAAAAAAAGTGTTTTCCAATTATTTTTCTCCAATGTTTGATAAAATGTTTGAATGTCAAGTTAATAAAGAATTAAAGGTATTGTGGAGGATTTTGACAAATTTTTTCTCTTCACACAAAAAAAAATGCACATGCACAACCCAGTACCCGCTCCCAAGAGGGTACACCTATTGTGCGAGAGCATAGGAACATGCATGAGCCCATTTCTCCTCGTGTTTAAAAGTTGTCATAGATCATACAAGCTTACTGTGTCTGAACTAAATTCCTCAATCACCATATGAGGGGGATTATATCGTGGACTTTGTAGCAAAATTAATTAACTGACCAGACAGACAAATGATCACTACTTTTTGGTCCACGTTGGTCATGTAACTCCTCCTCCACTGCGCGGTGAATGCGCCATATTTGTTTGTTGCCATTGTCGGATAGCGACAGCCTATGGCCACAGGCCGCTGTGACAGCAAATCCCATAATTTGCAAGGAAAGCTCTCCACGCAAAGCATTCTGGGATATATCTGCCTCTTCTGAGGCCTTTCTTTTCTTCTCATACACATCATAGAAACTTTTTCTCTTACAACCTTCGGCCAATTTCAAAGAACTATAGAGAGAAAGGTGAGCTTCAACGATTGTCTCAAACTGTAGCTCACCAGAGATATACCCCTGAATGTGCAAATGCACAGAAAAAGATAGCTAACGGGACAAGCACATAGGACGGCATCACGTAAACATATCACCAGAATGATTGACAAATAGGAGGACCACTTATTTAGAGGATCCACCTGGAAAAAAAAGATAGTCCTCTATACCTTTAAACAGGCATTACAGAGTTTTCTAATGATACTGCCACCTGTGGCCAAAACACACAACTGCAGCACTCTTCTGCTCCTACTTGTGCTCGTCCTTACAGTAATAAGGGTTGTCTCACTTTTTTCACCTTACAGTACATGGAGTTGCCATTGGTGTCTGAGTGGAGCTGAGATTGTTTGATAACTTTGACCCATTTACTCTGGACGTGATTGACGTCACATCCACCGAACAGCACAGGAACTTCTAACCAAAAGTTGATGAATAAAATTGAACTACAGACTTATAGATCAGCGCTGATCTACTGAGGTGTCCTTCTGCTTATCAAACGCTGACTTAGTCATAAAGAGTCAAATAAAAAGGCTATTTTAAAGATATTTTTTTCAGAAAAAACTTTGATTGCGTTTCTTTAATCTACATGTGTTGAATCTGATAACGTCTTTCAAAGCACAAACCTAATCAATGCCTTTATTGATTGAGGCAGTACAATATCATAGAGGCTTTTTTTAAACCAGTTGACATCTATTGCAGTAACTAAAATCTTTAGCTGTCAAGTTAAATGGATACTGGCTTATGCAAAGTGTCGTGGGTAAGTAGGTTGAGCAAAACACATTTTAGGTGGAAGTGTTTTAAATCATACATAAGGTAAGTTTGTAATAGTTATTTATTAACAATATTTTAATATTGTAAGAAATTCTGAATGGGCTGAGAAATGGATATTTCTCAGCGGAATAACAAGACCAAACTCCCTCAGTAGACGCTGAACATCCCTGGTGCTTTTTCTACTTGCACATTCTTCATATTTAAGAGGCAAAATATTTAAGCTACTGGCTTGCAGAGAGCCTGCAGAGGCTCCTCACCCCCTACTTATTAATACTGTCCATAGGTTTCAGTAGAATGAATAATGCGCACTCAGGGCTGCAGGAGGTGAGCTCAGGTCGTTGTGCACTCTGCTTGATTCTAGTTCCCTGCTGCACCGCTGCCAAATCTTGATGAGATTTTGAGCACAGAAGGGTGTTAGAAACAGGCACCACACAGAGCCAGTGTCCTCAGTGTCATCCTCAGCCAGTGCCAAAGCTTACGTCCTATTGTGAGTGAAAGCCAGCTAGAAACGCAACGAGAGAAGACTACTGCTCTGACAAAGAAAATAATACTACAGTAAACCTTTTTAAAATATATATACAACAGATATCAGAGAGCTAACCCACCAGGTAGTTTGACAGAGCTCAATGTAGGGTACGTATCAAATTTTTATGACATCAGGGAAAAAATGTCCTAAAAGACAAAATAATTTACCCTCATCAGTAACTCAAAATGTGGGACAAAACGAAAGGAGAGGTAAGAGACTGTAAAGGATTGAAGATTCCACACGAGCCTGAGATAACACACCATAATCAGCTGGAACATCTCCCCTCCGCCGTACGCTGCTGCTTACTCACCCCTGACATAAGAAGTGTGCAGATGAAAGAGACTTCTGAAGTGTAAGTGTGGGAGGGAATAGGAATTGATATAAAATGCAAGGCAAAACTTTGATGCCTTCATATGTTCCGTGGAAACAACTATGTCAGCACTATGGGATGTCAGTGGAATGTAGTGATAAAACTACAGTGGTTTGGTAGAGGAATGCACAAATACTTCAGATAGCTTAATTTTTTTGTGATTTTGTTTTTATACGATAAAAGTCTGCAAGATCTAATGAAAATAATAATTAGAAGTGGTGTAAACTATACCTGGACTCCGGGGGGAACAGGTAGAGGGACCATGTATCTCTCTGCCGGCACCATTCTGGCTGCTTTTTCTCCATCCATCGAAGTATCCTGGCCAAACGTCCCTGCACATTGAACAAAGGGTGAACAATATGTCTTATCCAGCTTTCTGAGGGCTAAAGTGGTTTTACACATAAAAACACCCCCTCAAACATTTGTGAATAAACACATATTGTGAACTACAGTTTTAATATGAAAGAAGGATACATTTCAAACCTAATATTTCTATCGGAAATCAATATCTATGGTTTTATCTACTTATCAGATGTGTCTGAACGGGAAAGATAAACTGAATATGACCAGCCTGGTAATGAGATGATATTAAAACTGTCAAATCATGATGCCACATAAGTAAAGCAAATCTAAATGCCATCTTTTATGCCAGCCAGTGACACATGTTTATGATCTATGGGATAAAAACCAACCTGTCAGGTCATTAAACGCTGCTCTACCCACCGATTATAATCAAGTAGCTTTGTGATAAAACATGCATCTTTAGTTACCTGGGAAACATTTCTAATGACTCAGTAGGTGAAATAAAGACAGTAACAAAAATCTAGATCTAGGATTTGCGTATGCTAAACTTTTTTACGGAGTGAATCTTGTTCCAGTATTGTTGCAAAGTTTTGCAATTGGACATAAAGATTTCATTCCGTTAGTTTTTTTAAATGTTATGGTTTTTTTTTTTTCCAGATTCATTATTTGCAAGCTTATTTTATTTTATTTTTATTTTTTTTATGAATTACATTCTCCCAATTTGTTTGTATGGATCAAATTCTCTTCACTTCAAGCCCAAAGCAAAAGCTCACAAGCCTGCCTCCAGAACCGAAGAGAGACAGCTAGAATTAAAGTTTGTCCTAAATGTGAAAACTCTGTTAAACTCTTTGGGGTGATTTGTAGTTTCTTCAGGTTATGGTATGTAAAATCCTTAGTAGTGAAAGAGCAATAAAAGTTTTTTTTTTAAAGTATAACTTAGATTTTTTTGAGCATTTTTTCAAAATATGCCAATAAGAGTTTGAATAGTCAATTGTTAAAAAATTTGCTGTTTAACATCTTAGGATCTGAATGTTTGTGTAAACGTAATTCTAGGTGTTAAGGTAATTCATGCACATGCACACCTGGCTGACCTCCTCCTCCACATTCTCGTCTTCAGTGTTTTCGTCTTGAGAGACATTAGTCTGGCTGAGGGCTGATGGAGATCCCTTCCCATTACAGTCGTTGTGCTCTGCAGTTCGGCCATGGCCCAGGGAAGGGGGTCTGGAGCTCTGCATGCTGGATGTGCGGTGCAGGTAGGGCACCTACAAGGAAAGGAAAAAAAGGTTTCTAAATTCATATTAATAACTCTATGTACATCTAAAGGGGCACAGTAATGTAGCAGCGATATTGTGCATATGTGTGTATGTATATGAAGATGTTTGAAATTATACCCCACACTTCGAAAATTATCTTTTCAGTTTTAAAAAGGGTGTTTTCTTTCATAGCTGCTAGAGTTCAGAAGACTATTGAAGATCATATTCATTTCTAGTCTCAATGACATGTCACTTACTGGTAAATTGTATTTTAAAGCGTTGAGTCTGGGTTCCTTCCAACCAATAAGTTTTAATCTGCATCTTTTTGTATTTATTTAATTGAAATATTTCTAATCATTATAAAGGGTTTAAGTTTAGTAGGAATGGGATTTCTTTTTATCGCTTGAAGTTCTGATAGGAGGCTCAAGGAAGGAGTCACATACAGCAACAGCCACTCAAAATGGCCCTTCCCTGTCAAACGCCAGCCAAATGGCACCTCACTTCCCTGCAACTCCCAGCAAAATCACCTCCAACTTCCAGCCACTGTAGTGACCTGATCCTTCTCCTGGGCATGCATATTTTTTTTTACTTTGACTCCACCCTGAATCACAGGGTCTGACCAGGAGATGATGCTTATCTTTAGATCTTAATGTCCACAAATCATGACAGAAAGAATATTTTAGTAAAAAGATTGATGTTTAAAAAGGAATTGTAATGGAGCAGCCAGGGACTCATCAAGGAAAGTGGGGAGATTTTGAGTGGCTACAACTGTACAAGTCGTTGTAGTTTGGTTTATTTGATAAATATCAGTTCATTTCCGATCACCCTGAGCTGTCACCTTATCCGAAGGCATTACAGGAGACTCTGGCTTTGTAAGGCAATATTGAGTAGCTGTGTCTACTGTCACCTAGCTTTCCCGATAATTCTACCATACTGCCAGAAGATGGCGCACACATCTGTTTATGTCTGCTCCTTTTGCCCAGTGCTGGAACTCTATTTAGGCTCAAAATAGTCTGTCAAACACCATCAACACAGACTCCTGGTTTAAATAACCTTATTTTATAAGGATTATGTTTTTTTTGGGTCCTTTTATGTATTTGCATTCTATGTAACTATGAGCTTTGCATACATTGTATTCAGTGTTGAGTGCATATTCATAAAAAAAAGACGAGATAATTATTTTAATTAAAATTTGCTAAGTTTCAAAAATAGTTTCTCAAAGACATTTTCAAGCGTCTCAACAATCAGTTTAAAACATATTCTTTGGCACAACTACAATCAACGTTTTTTTTAAGCTACTGCCCTAGTTTTGCATGTTTCCATTGTAGATTAAAAATTAGCTTGTTAATGAATTCTAAATTTAAAGGATGGAGGACCACGTTAGTGTGACCCAAACCTTTCACAGTCTTATAGCATACCTTTGGCATATTTGCAGTGCTACTTGGTCTTCATATTATGGCTTGGTTTCAAACAAACCTCTAAGGCAAAATTTTTACTAGGATCAATTTACAAATGGATTGACTTTATTCAATAATTAGAGTACTTCTGGAGGTAACTTTTAATGTGGATTTTTGTTTGAGAGCTGTAGGAAAAAGAGGATAAATATAAAATTTCTTTACACATTTCTCAAAAACAAAATGTTCTTACCTTCCTTCCGTCATATTAATACCTTAGTATTTATATTTTCTTATAAAATGAACAAAAACCTGAGGAAGTTCACTGTCCGTGACACTTGATACAATAGAAAGCTTCAAAAGCTGCTCTACCTGCAGTGAGTTTTCAGGAGGCAAATCCATGGAGCTGCGAGTTTCAACAGACTCCATCCTCCTGTGTCGTGGTGCCCTCTGAGACTGTGACATTGAGTCTGTCCTTGGAAGGGACTTGTCATCTTCTTCCAGCACCCCACCCCCACCTTCTCCATCATCAGAGCTAGAGTCGCCCTCTCCGGACAGGAGAGATCGCCGCTCCCCGGACTGGCACTTCTGCCGCTTGTATGATGGGGCACGGTTTAGGCTGGTCCAGCTGGACCTGCGGCTGCCCCAGCTGCTGCCAGAGGCCCACTGACCAAGGGGAGAGGAGCGGGCACTGGTCTGTAGAGAGAGTGTTGCAAGGAAAAGACATACTAATTCAAAGGATTTTTTTTTCTTTACTGTTTTTTTATCCATAGGTCATCCATGTTCTTGTAATTTGATTTAAGGCAGCTGACATTGATAAAGCTGCTTTACAAATTGACTATCTGAACTGTCATTATCCATGAACACACGGAAGACTTGGATGTAATCTCTCAAGTCTTCGTTTTGATTTTCACCTTGTCAGATAAAGTGGCTGTTACAGCAAAACGTAGATGGCCAGACTGATAATAGCCATTAATCATCAATCTTTATCTCCAAACAGTAGCAAGAGACAAACTATCAATTCACACACTGCTGGTGAAGCCAGATGCCAGAGAAGGCAATTTCTTTTAGCCTGCTGATATCCTGGCAAATGTTTTATCACATAAGAGAACAGCTATGCACTGGGGAAACCAATAATACTCTTACTTACAGGTGATTTATCATAGCTGGCTGGGTCTATGGAGATACTGCTGCCATGATGGGATTCATAGACCAGGGCAGGGTCGCCTGCTACAGGTAATTTGGGAACAGGCATGGGCGTCGGAGCAGTGTGGGTGATGACTGGTGGTGTCAGACTTGTCCTCATTTCCACATGGCCATTTAGTGGGACTGCGGTTAAAATGCAGATGATGGAGAAAGATTAGGTTGAATGACAACCCGAAAAAATTTAGACAAAATCCCCAAGTTTTTTTTTTTTTTTTTGGTAGGGCAGTTCAGAAAAAAAATTATTTGCACTTATTGAGCGACATGAATGTTTCAGCACATCTTTAATATAATTCGCTTGAAAGGAAACATAATGTTGAGCAGCAACACTATTATAGAAAAAGGCAAGAGCAATTAAATGTAAACAATTCTAATATTTCTGTCATTATTGATCTAAGGCTAGCAGGAGAAAAATGGGTCTTCCAGGTGTGTAACCATTTGTTTTAGTTCCCTGTTTTGCTAATATAGCTCATGGAATAGATGTCCCAGAGTTAGATGATAAAGCGACAGATTTGCTTTCACAAGCAGACCTGTTTGACTGTTGCAATGGGGTTCCGCTTGGTACTAGTATATGAAACTTTACTGTGAAACATTAAGTCAGTAAAATCATATACAACGGACAAGGAGACAAAAAGGGAGATGAGAAAGAAAGAGGTAATAAGAACTAAGGGGAGAAAGAGAGGGAGAGACAGGAAAGATGCAAACAAGGAGAGAAAATAAAATAGAACAGCAAAAATAGGCAACACAGAAGATATACAGTAACTCCTTGAAGTCTGCTTCCACACCTGTATGAGACAAATGGGACAGAAAACACAGAACATAACCGCAAAAAGAAGACAAGATAACCAAAGAAAATATTTTTAAAAAGCTGTGATAATGAGCATCGAAAGCAAACCCAGAAAGGCTGATCCATCTCCAGTGCCCCGAATATGCCCATCCTGATGCAGGTACATGTGTATGAAATGTGTCTATCCATCCATTTTTCATCACGCTTATCCCAAGGGTCGCAAGGAATGCTGGTGCCTATCTCCAGCTGTCTACAGGCGGGAGGCGGGTTATACCCTGTCTATTGCAGGGCAACGCAAAGACAACAAACCATTCGTGCACACACTCACACCTGAGGAAAATTTAGAGAAGCCAATTAACCTGTGGGAGGGAGCCAGAGTACCTGGAGAGAAACCACACATGCACAGGGAGAACATGCAAACTCCATGCAGAAGACCCCGGGTCGGGAATCACACCCGGAACCTTCTTGCTGCAAGGCAGCAGTGCTAGCAACTGTTCCACTGAGCAGCCCGATTAGAAATGTGTAAGCAGGTTTATGGTACATGAAGAGGATAGAGGGTGGTGGCACTGTACATTTGTAAGTTTCACTTTTCAAAGCTTCCGATCTGTAGAGCAGATTGTAGCTGGCAAATAAAGCGATATAGATTATGCTGCTGTCCTGGTTTGATGTTGACTATAAGGACAGCCAGAAATATGCCCACTGAGTTTGATCGAGAACATGACATCAACAGCATACAGCAGCTTTGATCAAATCAAAGGCTAATTCCAATTTTAGCATTTCTCTCGTTTCCTCTCAGAAAGTTTTGTTATTATCGCAGTCGATGTCTTACCTGAGGAGGGTTGTAAATCCTTTTTGCCGCCAGGGAAATCTTCCTTACTTCGTGTAACAGAATCAATCTCTGAACCATTTTTCAAAATATCCCCCTTGTGAAACAATTAACAAAAGAAGTATTAGAGCAGAACTTGTTCAAACATGCAGCCTTATCATATGTCAGGCCAAACATAAACGTTGGGTTTAAAAGCTAATTATCATCACAAATTGGTTTATGAAATGTATCTAAAATATTCACAGTAGTTTTGGTTTCGTAATTTTATTAAAGCGTGTTTGGAAGCCATATTTAAATCCATTTAAGAATGTGTGATGTTACACCTTCCAAGAATTTGGGATAGAAGATGAATGGTTTTACTGAGATGCTAAATGTTTCTTACAGTTACTGTAGTGTCTTAGTAACTGTTAAAGGTATTGTCCACAAAATATCTACAAATCATTATCCTTATACCTTTCTTTAAATTTATCCCTTTCTTTTGTCTAAATCTTTTCACAAGCCGTTTTCTTCTCGATATCCCCTCTATATATGGACTTTCTCAAATAGTTTGCTGGCAATAAAACGAAACTTGCAGATATACTTTTTGTATTTGTTCCACCTCACTGGTGCCTACAGATAATATTAATAAAGCAGAGGGTGTCAGCTGGATTCTCTTTAAATGAAATGCTGACCCAGTGAGTCAGACCTCTGTGGTAGCAAAGAGAATAAACAGTAGGAAGAACCTCTGGACCAAACCACCATGTACCACCTTCTGAACTGACAAACTACATTACTGATACTTCACACAGGCTGGAATGAAATGCAGGTATAGATATAACATATTTTATAACTTTCACAGGAATTCTGGGTTTTCTACTTCTGTGATCACAATTGAATTTTCCTATCCTCATCTGATCTGCTTGTCCTGTGAAGCATAGGGGGAATTATGCAGAAAGAGTTTATGCTAATGAAGTAGTGGGCCAATCAATTCGAGGGTCACTTAGACTCTTTCATGGTTTCTGTGATGATTCATTTCTATTTTAAGAGGTTTTTTGCTGTTTTAAAATGGCAGCTCAGGGCATAATGTAGCAGCCTAAAGCATCTCAGAGTCAGAGTTTTATTCTTTAAGGAGACATCAAAGTAAATTTGTAGAAGATATTTTTCAGACTTGTTTTCATTTAATAACTGGTTTTTAAGTATTATAGTAGTTTCTTTAATTTGTAAAACTTTCAAACAACTTAACTAAAGACGAACTGTTGCACCCAAGATATTTGGTGTGGTTGACTCTTTTAATGGTGGTTTCAATTATTCTACAAGTAGTTTAGAATAATCCAGTCCAAGTTTTATGTGTCTAGGTGTGGTAGTTGTAGAACTTGACCAACTCTAGTGTGACATTGACACAAAAAAAGTGTTAAAATCTGTCTCTATTGAATTTTCACAAATCAGAGAAAGGTTTCACAAATCCCAGACCTGGTTTTAATCTTTCAGCAAGTAGTTTAGAGTAATCTAGTCCACATTTATCTGACTAGGTTTTTTAGTTTGAGAGCTGGACTATCTTTGGTGTGACATGGATACAAAAAAGGGTAAAAATTGGTCTTTATTGAAGTTTAAAAATTGGAGAAACACCCCTTATTAATTTACCGAATGGGAAGCTAGAACGGAAGCCAACTTCAGCTTTGTTACGGACGTTGAGCTCCTTTCAGCATCAACAGACATTTATTCTTCTTCTGTGTGTTCGCTCCTGTCTATGCCCGCTGGGTGATCAGAGCCCCCAAGTGGTTGTATGTATAATTTCAATCCATGACTGGGTATAACACAAAGAATTTATTAACCAGACAAATTGGGGGATAAAAAATAATAAAAAAAAATGTTGGGGTGCCTATTTTCATGCTTTTTGTTTCCATTTACTTATAAATTGTTTACCCCCTTTATATAAAAATATAGTTTACACTCTGTTTAATTCAGTCTGGCTGGCCAGGCTAGATCCAGGCTTTTCATGGTTTTGCTCTTGCATGCCTGTTATTGTATGACTTCTCTTGCAAATTCCAGTGAGATTCTGCTTAAGAATGAACAACAATATGCTTCTTGTGGACAACAGAAATACATTTTGTTTAAATTCTAATATCATTAACCATTAATTGATAATTAATTGGAAGTCAACTAACTTCTTTAAATCCCTATATATGATGCCTTGTTTTGCTGTCTTTGCATTTAAAATAAATCCCAAACTTCATTCTAAAAACTACAGAAACCTTCATTAATGTTCCCCATGTGTCATGGTTTCGCAAAAAAAGAATTACTTAGAGAGTAGCTCATACTGATAGATATGTAGGACCAAAGACGTCTTTGCCAATAAAATGACTTATATATTTGAAACTATAACTGTTGCCTGTGTTGATATTTATTTTTTATCTTTGTTTAAAAAAAAAAAGATAAAATAATAATTGGAGAAAGAAGATAAACTTGTTAAATATTTCAAATTCAATACACCTTAACCACTTAGCCTTTATAACCAAGAGCTTGGTCCACTATCTGTTTTTTGGCAACTGTCTGCTAAGGTTCTGAAGATAATATACATGATATGAAGCAGCAGGATATAAATCAATATCTCTTGTTATTTGTTCTTTTTATGTAATTTACTAAATCATTGAAATAAAGTCTCAGCTGGTATTTGTTTTGGAAAAACAAATCCCAGCAGAATTATAGTCAGCAGCAACATTCAGCAAAAATAACATGAATGTTTCACTCTGAAATAGCTAAAATTGACTCATATAAGTAAATGGTGTTCTAACCATACAATAGCTATTAAGCAGAAAATGTGAAGGCAAAAAATAAATAAATAAAACTGATAAGGGAAAGCGGAAACTTGAAGGTGATCCCTAATCTTAAAGCAAGCTTTAGGATTGGACCTGCAAGAAGAAGATGGAGGAATTTGCTGGTTGGGTGATAATTGAGAGGAGCCAAGAACAGGAGAATCTCAACCACATTTCTTCACAATGGGATACAAAGGGGGCTGCTGATAACAGGAAGCCAAGTAATTGTTTTTGTATGTCTTAATGTGTATTACCAATAAAACTGCCGTCTTTCACAGCAAACTTTTAGATTAGTCAAGAACCCGATTTAGAAAATGTAAAAATTCACACATAATTTAAAACAGAAAAAGGCCAAAATAGTTTTCAGGCCACGGCTCTGCAATGAGGAGATCAGCTGCCAAATTCTAATGAGAGCATCTTCAGCCGTATAAAATTAAAACATTGCTATGTGTGTTTTTTTTAATGAGTACTTTTTACCATGAAAGCCAAATATGTAGAAAAAAAGTTATTACTAATGAGAAAGAAATAAGATATTACAGAGAAAACTTCAAGAACAAGAAGAGAAGATCTACAATGATCTGTGGTTCCTGTGATCAGATGTCTGTTAAAGGACCAGAAAAGATTAAGGAACTGGATTTAACTGTTTTCTACCTAGCTGTCTGGGTTTATCTGGTTATGGTGGGAGCTTTCCAAAAAAGGTACATTTTATCTCACACCACATGTTGGACTCTATTCAACTTGATAAAATAAGGTTTTAATAGGAGATTTTAGGGAGCCCCAGAGGAGAAATTGAGCTGGCAAGGTCAGAAGAAAGTGTTGGTTAGAGTTGATAATTGGACATGATAGGAAATCTGCTTTTCAGGAGGGAAAAACTCCCACAGCAAGTCTCCAGCACTTGGTTATATCATCTGCACACAGAGGAGCTCAAAACCTTAGTTTTTTTCAGCGATAAGTGGAACCTTGCAGGGATGACCTTTGTGGGTTTGCAGATGATGGGATTCACATTCTGACAGCTTGTTGGAGCTCATTTGGCAAAATGGGTGACGGGAAATGCTTTTCATCCAGTCACAACTATTACAGCTAATCACCAGCTTTATAACATACACCTTTTAAATCTAGCGACTTCTATGGTCAAGCAGTTGGTCAACTGCAGTACTGATCATGGGCAACTTATCCAACTTGATATTGCCTGTTAAGCTTTTGGCTTTAAAAACTCAAAAATATAATAAAAATTATTTTAATTATTAAAAAAAGCACAAAGAAGTTTGATTACTTAAATTGATATGTACATAGAGAACCCAAGATATATTGTAATTTCTCCTTTCCGGTGTTGGCAGCTGTCCCTTGTTGGAGCATACTCACGGTTTTGATTTTTCTTTTCAGGAGTAAAGTGAAGAAATGTTTTGTCGTAAGCTCACATTGAGCCTGGTTTTGCTGGAGGTTTCCTCCTGTTAAAGGGGAGTTTTCCTCTCCACTGTCACTACAAGCATGCCTATTCTGAGGAATAGCCTTCAAGTCAATGAGTCAATGCAATCAACTGTTTTTCCTTAGATAGAAAACTATCAATCAATTTGACTGTATAATCTCGCTGAATTGTAAAGTGCCTTTAGATGACATGTGTTCTAAATTGGCACTATATAAATAAAGTGAATTAAAAAATGAATTATTGTTATGATCAACCTAACACAACAAGCCTCATTATTGGCAACAGGATAGGCAACACACATAGAAGCCTCAATGGCAGTACTACTCCAGTGACTTTGTTGAATGTGAGTCTGTTTAACTATTGAATTCCTGTTGCTTATCTTTGTGCATGAAGAAGTTGTAAAGATAAAGGGTTGCCTTTCTAGATGTTTTATTTGGGGAAAATATATCTATTGTTGAAAAAGGTATTAGCTTTTGTCAAAATAATAATTAGTGCTCAGAGGTGTGCAGACATTGTCCTATGAATGAGTCAACTATGTCTGTTAGAACAACAGATTTCTCCTTGAAAATGTTGTCAACCAATAAGAAGTCAGCAGTATTTTCTCATCCTGTCCTTCTTGTATCAGTAGTGCTAATTAGACCCAATGATTGAAGTCAAAAAGCTTTTGGGGAATTATAGTGTTTGCCTTTCTCTGGAAAATAGCCTGTTATTTACTCATCTTTGTAGTTGCTCTTTTTTTTTGCTGATTTATAGCCTCGAGAGGTGGCAGCATCCATCCAAAAGCCTTGGAAAAGCTCCCATTTACTACTCAATTGGATTGGACTGGCAAGCGCAAAGATTTTTTTTTTTCAAACTTTTGACAAAAACAAAAATTGAAACTAAATCTTCAGATTAATATTACCAAGGAAATTTTAGGCAGCTTTTTTTTCCCTCTAAGGCTCAACAGTCTCCTAAAGGCTTCTATAACCTTGCATTACTAAGAGCTGCATGTTAATATCTACATTAATGTCTGCTACATATTAGCCTGTCAAATTATCTATGCAAAATGGCTTCCTTAATATATTCATCATTCTGTCATTTATGAGCTGTGTGTCTGCAAAGAAGAAAAAAAAATCCTAGCTATTGGGAAGTCTATGGCCTCACTGCAAAGCTATGTAGGAAATCATGAGGGGAAAAGGAATGAAGAGGAATTGCTAAGAGGGAGCAAGATGATTAGTTGATTAAATGGAGGCAGGAAGGGAGAAAAGGCATGGCTGCAGAGCTGTACATACCCCTGAGTCTATAGGCAGCTGAATTAGGCTCAGCTGGGCATGCAAGTCCTCCCGCTTGGTAATTTCCTTTTAGCGGAAGTGGCCGGAGAGGAGAGGGAGGCACACAGAGGAGGCACAGAGGAGAGAGGTGGAACCACAACAGCAGACAAGAGCAGAAGGGAGAACATTAAAGAGGATTCAACATGTTGGAAAATGTTGACTTCATCCTAGTGAAGGACATATAAAAGTAGAACCCATGAAAAGTCAGGAAGTTATAGGAGAAGCATGTTTTTGTTGTATTTTTGACTTAATCTCTGAGTTGTTTTTCTGCGTTAAAAGCTGGACGAGACAAGAAGCCTCATTTATTTCTGTGCATATAAAAATAGATCATTACATAAGTTCCATCACAGAAGGAAAAATCCAAACTTTCATTTGGCTTAAGAACAACAAAATAAATAACTGGTTCAGCAACATCATTGGTGAATCAGTCTTTGGAACCCATCTAGTACCTTAAAAGATAAAAGCAAACAAAGTATTTTTTAGTTGTTTCAACATTTTATACTATTTTCGTGGAACTTCTATATAAGAAGCCATAGAATCTATAAAGGACTAATTATTTTTAGCAAACAGTTTAAAGAATGGAACAGGACCTACAGTAGGTTTACCTTGCAACAACATGCATAGAGTATAAAACACATTAAACTCACTGTCAGATATTTGCAAAAAATTGTGTCTTGAGCTTATCAGTCCAGCATAAGGACCTTTGGATTCCACATATATGTCACCTGGTTGTTTGGGAGTGATGGTAAAATCCAGAACAACCGTTTCTACCCTACAATATATCTAATCCAAACAATTTGCACCCTCAACCATGACTTTAACTAGACTAGCTTAGTCTAAAAAGGAATAAGATAAAGCTTTTTCTTTCTAAATTACATATCAACAATTTATTTATTGCTGTTTGTATAAAATTGGATGAATAATCACAGCTGTAGTTTTGTTGGCTATAACAATGATATTTAGATTTTTGGGAAACTGACAGGACAGAAACGTTCAAATTACAGTCAGCTTATTTTATCATGGTAATAATTACACTAAGTTTAAGTTACAATATGGAAAAAACAAGTCAGTGTCACTTCAAACTAAACTAAAATAAAATATTTTAGCATTTAGCTCTGTAGAGAGTAACATTTGTAGCCCAACAATATATTTAAGAGATTCATTATTAGGTGAAATATTTCAAGCCTTTATTTCTTTTAACTTTCTTTACAATGGCTTACAGATAATGAAAATCTCTAAATTCAATGACCTGGGAGATATAATGTGAAAACGTTAACTTGAAACTAACAGTGTCAGAATATATATTATCCATCCATCCATCTTCTGCCACTTATTCCGACAGGGTCCCTGTAGGGCTGGTGCCTATCTCCAGCACTCCTGGTAGATGGTCAGACAGACAGGTCACAGTTCAACACAGAGACACACAACTATACACACACACTCACACCTAAGAAACATTTTTGGGAAGCCAATTAAACAGTCCTGTTTTTGGACTGTGGGCGAAGCTGGAGTACCCAGAGTAGAATGCAGACATGCAAAGAGAGAATATGCAAACTATGCAGAAATACCTGAAACCAAACCCAGGACCTTGTTGCTTCAAAGCAACAGTACTAAAAACTGCCCCATTGTGCAGCAATATTAAGCTAAAATAAATTAAGCAATATGCTGGTGAAGATTCTTAGTCAGTTTTTTTTTTTCCAAGTTTGATGACGTTTTGCTTCCCAGAAAGCTTTCTCAATTCAAAAGGTCTGCTGTAGTGTGGAGCTCCAGGCTTTATAGAATTGCCCAACAGAAGCCTTCTTATGGCTTAGAAAACATTTGAATTGAACCAAAACAGGTCCATCCCTTTGTAAAGGGGAGTCGTTAAATTAAACTTGCAGGTCAAAAAAGAACTAAACAATGACCTTAACATTTTGAATTGAGAAAACTTAAAAAAAGGTCCAGTGGTTTTGTTTTTGTTTTTGGAATAAATGAAGCAATCTACCAGGAAATTTTGGAGAACATTATGGTTCTCTTTGCAGACTAAACATGTATTTCCAGCAACACTTGGCACCTGTTTAGACTGCTCAGGGCACAAAAAGCTGATTCAATGACCAAGTCTTCAGTGTGTTTGACTGTACTGCAAACTGGCCTGACCTGCAACCCCTGGAGAATCTATGGGGTTGACACATGACACATGACTCAAAGATCCAGGTGAGCTGAAGGCTGCTATCTAAGCAACATGAGCTTCCTCACAGTTCAGCAGAACCACATGATGATTGACCCCCCATGCCTGGATTGACAGAGTAATTCATGCAAAAGGCCCCCCAACCAAGTATTGACTACAGAGCAGTGGAATAAAAAAAAAAGTCTATTTAAAATACAGATATCCTTAACTTATTGTTCTTGATTTATAATGCAGTTTTCATGGACATAGAATTTTGCTTTTCATTAACTGTAAGTCATAATCATCATGCTTGAAATGATTAGCTCTATGTGTATTAATGTAGAACCATTTCACATTAGTCTACATTTTCAGATGAAGCCTTTGATAACATGAGAACAGCCCAGAATAAAGCTGCTCCATTAAGCCAGAGAAGACTCTGTCCAGAAAATTCTTTCACTTTTCATCAAAGAGACTTTTAATCATTAGAAAGATATCACATAAGATTTAGGTGATATTTAAACCCTAATCGTCTGCAACTGTGATATACCTTTAGACTGTTCACTGTGCCATGTATGCTTAATGGAAAGGGTCTGTTACCAGTAAACCAGTGTTCAAGATATTAAGATTATAGCTTCTTAAACTGGTTTTGTTTGTCATACAGCTTTTAATAGACTAGAACAGCAACTGAAATGTTTATCTCAACCATAGGGAGCATGTTTCTGTGTTTCTTGGTTAAAAGGTTTTTCTAAAAAAGGCTTCCCATTTGTTCTTTATACAGCTTGGAAAGATTTAAGGTGGTAATAAAGCTAAGATCATTCATAATTGTATGCAAACAAAGACTGTCACCTAAGAAAACAGCTTTGAAACAATATTTGACAAAGTCAGTTCTGCCTTTTAAGCAATTTTACTCCAATTAAAGCTGTTATATTATAAGAATTGAACTACATCCAAACTATTTCCTTTCCTACTGATTGAAGGGAGACACGCAAAGCAGCAAAATAAAGGGTGCCAATAACTTCAACAGTGTTATTTCTGATTTTAAACTTTTCTGAATGTGTTGATAGATAGATAGATAGATAGATAGATAGATAGATAGATAGATAGATAGATAGATAGATAGATAGATAGATAGATAGATAGATAGAT